TCTTTAAAGACTAACAATGCAAGACAAAGTGCAATTGTAGCTAGCAAGCACTAATGACATTCTCTTCCACAATTCTGAATGGGACATCTTTCGGATTTTTTTCGTTCATGAGTGGAACTTACTAATCCGCTGTGCTCGACTATTTGATAAATTTTCTCCTCGTTTAGCCAGATGGCTGCTTTTATGTGCCTATGTAGTTAATCTAGCACTCAGAACGTTGCGGCTGCTGAGATGTCGAAGTAGTTACTTCCGTTTCGCTGCAAAGGCGTTTTTGTCCCCATCGTTCCTATCCAATTTCTCAGTTGGCGTGCAATTCACTTGGTGAGAGCATCTAGCTGCCTTATAAGAAAAGCGCAAAAACAGCCTTTGTTAATGGCCCACCTTTCTTAGCTTTTCGGTGTTTGTCCCACGAAAGTGGGTATACAGAAGTGTCGCAAGCATTTGCGCAAATCCTGTTTGCTATTTCTTAGTATATTGTGCGTAGTTTAGCCGTTTTATTTTCCCGTTGCACATTACTAAGTCGAAATTTGCGACAGGAGTTTGTCAGTCATGTAGTACCCTACGTGTAGTAATTTGATTGGCTACTTCTAAATTCGCACCAGCGAAACTGACGAATAATGTATTGATACGCCTGCCCACTTATCACTTGACCTGTAAACAACTCAGTGGTGTAGACTCCTGCAATTCTTCTATCATTCGTAGAACGTGACTTCAGTGTTCAATCTACAGGGGAACGATGACCGATAACTAATATATACTCACAGCAATTGGCAGAGGGTGAACAGGTTTGAAATGCTTTAGAAAGTCCCCGAGTAGTCTTCATAGCATTGCTCTCGGATAATTTACTTTTAACACAGAATAATGACGAAAATATGTTTGTTCGAAATACTCGGCTCAGTAAACAGCATCCTTCCCCTAGCTTAAAGGAATTATTTGTCAAAAGAGGACTGAGAGACCGCCAAACAGTGTGCCTTTATCAGTGCACTTGTTCTGACGTATTAAAATTTAACAGAATAAGTGTTTTTAATATTTGGAATTTTTCGTATAAACTGGAAATCATGCATCCCAAGAAATTTAATTTGAAGACAAGATGTTCTTTGGGATAAAAAAGTAAATGTTATCAGCTAATTTTCGAGACTGACGAGAATTTGCAACGAACAACTAAAATTTCAAACACGCGGAAAAAAATCAATAGTCATATTGTGTGAGAGCTGATTGGTAGTTGTGACTTCTGTCAGTCTGTATTGTGCGGCCCTCGTCTCTTCCACCGTTCTTTGAGATGTTTATAAATTACATTTTACCAATAAAAATAGGCCTCTTCCCCTGCTTCAGAGAGGTGTTCATGTCTATCTCCAGACGGTAGGAATTTATTTCTTTTGTTCTGCGTACCATGAGTCCTATTGACCATCTGTCTAAGTCTATTAACTGACGTATTTGACTTTCGTTGAGTTATTGATTTACGCTCTCATTTCACTTTGCTGGCAACTGTTGTTTGTGTATCCCGAATTTTTACGCATGCCCACAGCTTTAAATCAAATGCGGGGGTAAAAGGATGCTTTTATTCTTGAGCTTTATCCATTGCCTTCTCCCTTTTCTCTCACGTGCTCCAGAGAAGATGAACATTGTCCGTTTTGGCCTGCTTTTTAATCTTCGTCATTTTCAATGTCAATGCTTCATCCAGCTTTGACACTCTTGTTTTACCAGGGAGTAGATCGTGCGGATGCGGACTGCAAAGACGAGGAAGAGTCTCTCACTCTGGGACAACTGGATCCCACCTTGAGGTAATTATGTTCCCAGCTTTCACTTTGCGACATTGAGAACCTTTTGGCCCTGTTTACCGCCTTCATCGTCATGCCCATATCTGCTACGACCTTTGTATTATCTGTACTTACTATTTTCGATTGTTTTCCATCGCCGTCACCACTATTATCACCATTAATTACAGCTCGGAAAGTCCAGCCCTGTGTTCCATAATAAGGGATGAAAATGTTCACCAGAATTAATTCTTCTACACCGAGCCACTCGTTTTGTCTAGACGACCAACACCCGTTTCTTTCCCAAACACTGTGTTTTTTCCTGTTGTATTCAGGAACGCCGACGTTAGCACAGCCAGCCTTGCAAAGACCTGCACTCCAGGTCATAGCTACTGAATGCTTTCCCAATGATTTTAATGAATAAGCCATCGTCACTCTTGTCCTCTGTGGCCTCTTAAACGCCCCCAGACCAAGCTATTAATTAGTTCACCTTCCCACCGTCACATGGTTCACACTGTCAGTTATTGACTGAGGAGAGTTATCGGGCACCTGCACACTGCCCAATTGTCGCTGTTCGGGACTTGGCCATAATCCTCTACAGAGATGAAACTTTGTCGTCTGGCAGAGTGAACAGTGTGAAATTGTTAACAGTTAGCCTATTTCAGAATCCTCATTTCCTCTACTGCAGGAGTGAGGTGACGTATGTGCATGTTTGAACGGAATCAACTGCTGACGCCGAAGCGACTTTTCGTTTTTTTCCATCAGACAGGCTAGCAATATCTTCTAGTGGCGGGTGGGTCATGGTAATATACACGTTCCTTCCGCACTACAGCTGGCCTTGCGCTGAATGCTTGGGGCTTATGGCTAAGGCATGGATATAGATATCCCCCTCCCCAGGGAAAGTATCAGCATGTAATAGGGGCGCGGGAGATCCTTGCGCTTGTTGGTGGAAAGGAGGGCGCGAGCGCCTAACAGTTTTGCTGACAGAGAGCCAAACGGCCAAGTAGTAACCACACCGGCACGACTGATGAACTCCTGGTCATTAATGACTCGGACGTGGACTGACGAGCAATCATCGCATAAATTATGACCCCTAGCAGTGATCACAGGAACTGCTAATTAGAGTTCACATATGGTTGCACAGCAACCACATACTGCAAATATTGCGGTTGTTGTGTCTCTACTACCCGACCGTCTCCGACGATGGGCTCGAGTGAGCACTCAAAACGTCAGACCACTAAACTTCTTGATCTCGTGATCGCATCTTCGTCTAGACTGCTTCCTGGAACTCGCCTTTTGGTTTCTATCGGAAGTACCCATTCCTCTGTCCAAATCTTAACCCTTATACAAACGCTCCTAGTCCTACCCTCCCTGGAATTTAACTCAGGCCACCTGAAATTTGGGAGCGGGGGCGGGGCTCTATCTGCCTATTCCCAACCCTACACGGACGACACACTGGCTTTTTATCAGCCCTTTTTCTGCTACCAAGTCGCTCATGTCGGCCCCCATGCTGTCCTACATTATATCGTATTTGCACAGGGCCAGTACGTGCACGGTTCCTGCCTTGCAAAACTGTCTAATCCTCTCAAATTTGTAGCTCGGAGCGCAAAGATGCCATCGATACCTGGGCTGATTTCGACCGCACAGATGACGCACCGTTTTGTGAACCCTTGGGTAAGTTGGTTAGTCCATTTTTGCCTACTTTAATACATCTTTTTTTATTCTACTATTCTCTTGAAATTTGCGCTTAGTTGCATCCATTTTCCTCTGTTGACTGATTGTTCAGATTGCACAGGGTGATTTTCAAGGAAATTGTTCTTTTCGGCATTTCTGTAGGAACGGTTCCACAGTAACTTTGCCGACTCGCGAAATGTATCAAAATTTAAGAAACATCTCTAATCAATCACAAACCGGCAAAACTGAGCGGGCCGAAATCTCGAATTCACAATGACTTTTGGTGAAATGAAAAGACAAAAGAAATTGTAAAATTAATACTAAGCTGTTTAGGAATAACATTTTTTTAGAAAAGCGGTAATTCCGAAAACGTTCAAAATCCTTGCAAACGAATAAACTTGAGTTCTGGAAGTACATTGAGGCCATTCATGCAATAACTTAAGTAAATAAAACAGCGCGAATAGAATAACGTTTAAAAGTTGTCCTTTGGCGCTGTTTCCACTTAAGTATACCTTGTAGCA